ATGAGAAGGGAAAGGCAGGTGATATGTATCTTCAGAAGACCCTTTGGAATCTATGACAGAATGGCCAAGATTATGAGGAACTATGGGGTCTGGAGAAGTCGAAGGTAGCTTTAGGTTTCTTTATCTGTAAGGCATCTACAAGTTTCAAAGTCTTCAGATTCACTGGGAGGATAGCTCAGAGGTGAAGCATGCCTTTAACATGTGAGGGGCCACAGGTTAAATCTCTGGAGAAGCTCTTCCCCGAGCTGAGGTTTTGAGGATTCGTGGATCTTGGTTTGGAGGGCTCAGCATAAACCGATTAAAGTTTATACACTACACTCTGCTTAGGAAAAAAATAATGGTCCTCATAAATTCCAAGTAATCTGGGTTAGATTCCTGGAGAGTTAGGAGGGAACCAAAAATGGAACCACCCTCTCAAGCATCCAAGCCCACTCACAAATGAGTTTAAGACTTATTTAGACAAACACTACCTAGGACTTCCGTGCTCTGGTCCAATAGCCCAGCAGGAGCAAAATGATCAATATCAGGATAACATCATACACAGCCTTAAAAGATGTCTACAGTTTAAAACTATACAGTAACCTGAGCAAATATTTAAAAAAAAAACCTAGACATGCTGCATTGGTCAGCTTTGTTCATATAATAAAATACCTGCTGTCATTAACTTATGGAGAGAAGGGATTTAATTGGTTCACAGTTTTGGAGTCTCTAGTCCAAGATTGGGTAGACTCACTGCTTTGGTTTTGGGGGTATAACAGATACTGCAGATATTCACCTTATCAGCCGGGACGTAAAGAAGAAGAAAAAGGCAGAGAAATTCCCTTCAAGAGTATGCTGTGCCTCCAGGGACCTAAGGCATTCTCCCCCGTGCAGGGTCTACCATAGCTCACCAGCACCATTCTGGGAGCACTTAAACCATAACATATATGCAAGGCAGTTTGTGCATTAAAGAAAGCCAGACAATGGGAGGAGACCTAGGATGGATTCAAATCATGGCATTATCAGGGGAAGCCCTTCAAAGGCCCATGCAGGGATGAGAAGACGGCTCATTTGGTCAAACGCTTGCTGCAAGAGGATAAGGAACCAAGTTCAGAGCGCCACTATCCATGTTGAAACTGGGCATCACCTTATGAGCTTGTAATATTAGCACTGAGTTGGTGGTGGCTGGAGGGTCTCTGGAACTCACTAGTGTAACTGAAACTGTTCCATGAGAGATCATTGCCTCAAACAGCTCTAGTGACAAGTGATGGAGGGACACACCCAGACATCAACCTCCATCCTATGCGCACACACACACACACACACACACACACACACAAACACACACACACACACATAATACATAAGTCCAGGTATAACATTCCCAAAGATTTGGAAGACAAGATTAAAATTTTGGATTAAGAGTTAAAAACTCTATAAAAAGGGGAATTAAGCGAAAGTTCTAGAACTGAAAGACATCACCAACTGAAATTGAGAAATAGTGAAGAGTTATCAGAGAGTTCCCATGGGCCAGAGCTGTGTTTAAAACATTACAAGGTGCAGTGTAAGACATTTGTGAAGGTCATTTCCTCCTCGCTATTTGATGTAAAGGAGTCTTAAGGCCCCTGATCCACGTGTGAAAACACTTTTGTTTATACCCCGCTGTGTCCCTAAAGCTGCCTGATGGAGCCTACCTATTGCCACTCCCAGCATGTGGATACCTGGGTTTTCCATTCCCTTGCCTCCAAACCATAAGAAAAAAGTTGAGTGGAATCAAGGCCAGGGAGTGAGGAAAGAAAAAGGAGTTTGTCCTTCCTCTTCTTCCCTCTCTAGTGGGGAGATGTGCTTAGGATCCCCACAGGAAATCCAGGGACTTCAGTCCAGAAGGAAAGAACCATGCTTGGGTAACAGGGAGCGGAGGGCTTGTACGTGCCTGCACGTGTGAGACAGGGTTGGAGGCGTGGTAGGCTCTGTGACCCGTCTCTCCCGTTTACCCTGAGGTAGAGAGTTGAGTGCAATCAATACTGTTTGAGTAATCCCCACAGGCCGGGATCAGGGTCAAGTACATCATGTGAGGAGTCTATCTAATTCTCATAGCGATCCATGATGTGATTTCCGTTATTGAAACTGGTTATTGGGTAATAAAACTGGGTTCTAACGAGTCTGCACACCCTGTCTAATGTAACACAGCTCAGGACGGTGTGAGAGGACTAAGACTCGGGGCCCACCCAGGGACCCCTTTCCTGCACACATGTCCTTTGGAGGCGGTGGGCATGGTCCAGAGAAGAAAGCACAGGGCAAGGAAAGTCTGGGAGGCTAGCGTTTGGAACCTCTAGAACTAAATGCTTTCTGTTTGGATTTGGGCCGAGGTCAGAGCAACAATGACCCCGCAGCTGTGATGGTGGGTGGAGTTTTGCTTGGACCACTGGCTAAGGGTAGAAGAGGGCACAGAGCTCCTCCGTTCACCTTGGCAAGTCGCTTCTCTTCCTCAACCTTCAAGGATGTTTGAGATAATACTGATTTGATGTTTTAACAAAATTTCACCAGTTTGCTAAAAGTTGGCTCTTCTAGAGACATTCATTGATTGCTGTATTAGTAACTGCCCAAAACTTGGGTTTTCAAAAAAAAAAACCCAACAAAAAAGATCTTTAAAAAATAATATAGAAAATTACACAGTAAGAAACAAACAAAATGTTTATTGCTTAATGACATTTCTGTATACTATATTAGAAATCACAGCCCTTATAAATATAATCATATTTACAGGATAATGTTGCTCAAATATTTGTGCCTCACTCCAACTACATAGCATTTTAGGAACTGTTATTTTTTTTGTTAAATTATCTTCTATTTCTTGTGTTGTTTTTGTTTTCCTATGAATGCATAGTTAATAAAAAGTTGAATGCATTTAAGGCTTAGGCTTTAATATCTTGATAAATATTATAGAAGTGTCACCACAGTCTAGCTAGTTAACATATCTGCCTCCTCACCTAGCTACCATTTTTTTCTCCTTCCTTCTTCTTCCCTCCCGTTCTCCTTCTGTCCCTCTTGTTTCTCTTCTCTTTTCCTTTCCTTCCCTTTGAAAGGGAAGAGGTAGTGGGACTACTTAGCCACGCTCTCGGCACATTTCCACATGTAGTGAGCACCACTGTTATTATGGCATGGCCCCAGATACCCAGAACTCACTCATCTCATCAGCTTGGCATAGGTTAGATTTCTGAGGCAGCCGAGAGACAGAAAGGCGAAAGACACCTGAACTTCAGCCGCTGTTACTGTGTTGATTAGCACAGGGGTAGCCTGTGTCCCTCAGGAATGGGGTGAGGAGCTTGGAAATGAGGAAACTGTTCCAGCTGTGGTGGCCTACGTGTTGCTCCTGCAGTCTCTCCCCCCCGAAACGGTTTGCCCACAGCCAGGCAGACTATCTTCTCTGGAGCAACTGCTGACAGTTGGACAAAGCCATCTCTGTCCTCCTAGGAATCCTGCTTTACAACCCAGGCCCTCCATCAGCATATTTCCCTCCTTAACCATTCCCTACCTCCCGGCTACTGCCTCTGGCAATCACCAACCTCCTGCCTGCTTCTGGGTGTTAATGTGAACGGTAATAACATGCAAGATGTAGCATTTGTACAAATTAGTAAGTAATAAAGGAGTCTAGGGCAGCTTCGGAAGTACCCTAAGACAAGCATGAGGGAGCTTCTGGAAGCTGGGTACCAGTTACTTCCCCCTTTCGGTAGGTATGATGACAACATTATGCACCTGGTGACTAATAAGCCTTCCAGAAACTTCAAAGCTTTATTTAATTCAGCAGTTTCTGGAAGTTGTAAATAAGCAGGCCCATTCATACTTATCACTCTCCTTCGGGCAGCTTCATGAGAAACTCTCCAAACAAACAAAGAAATGAGCAAACAGAACATCCCTTGGCCCTCACAGATAGATAGCATCTCTCTACTAGAACTCAAGAAGGATATGTACTTGCTGTTGGGACTCTCAAAACTATCATCTAGGGCTCCAGTGCAGAAATGGGTTTTTGGTCACTTCCTATTAACAAGCTCCGTGACCCTTCCCTCTGCTAATCTTTGTGAGTGTCCTTGTGGGAGGCTGAAATAAGGCTAACACAAGCTCCAGTCCAGCTCTGGAAAGGCTGTAGCAGCATCCTCTCCCTCAGGGGAACACACAAGGGCTCTCTTCACCTTTCCTAACCTAGAATCGGAAGGTCCTTACCTTTCCCCAGCTGTCTAGAGAAAACCGCACCAAAGGAAATGAATGTTTATTAACATCCACTCGGGACCAAGATTTAACTTCCTTCTTTCCTTCTATCTTCAAGGAAGACGCGGTCCTCCTCATTCTGAGAATGAAGAGGCAGAGACAAAAATAGGTGAAGTGACTTTTTCAAGGCCACATGGATGGCAGTGACAAGTGGCAGAGAAGAAGTCTGGAGCTGTTGCTGGCCGCATGCTTCATCCACTTTCCCCAGACCCCGATTTCAGAACAAAATCACCTCTAATAGGCTCCAGCTTTCCAGACGTGGGACTGGGGAAGATGGCTGATTTTAAAGCATCCCTTGGGAGAGACTCATTTCTCTAGAGCGGGAGTCAGTAAACTTTCTGTGCTACATGTGACTTGTCCCTTTTTTTGCAAATGCAGTGTGTTAGAACAGTTGAGCTTTCTGACTCACAAATTGTTTGCGGGTGCTTCTGCACCGTGACAGCTGTGCTGAGTGTTGTGCTGAGCGTGGATGGTGCACAAAACACCAAATATTTACCATCTAGTTCTGGACACAATGTTTATCCAGAGTCTGGCCAGCTCTCCCTTCCCCAAAGAACACGGTAATAGTGACGTGAGACGGTCCTTTGTCCACCAGGCCCTATCACTTGCCTTCCGTTGCAAAGGGAACATTTCTGCTGGCATCTGTTTTGTAGGAGGGAAAAGGAAAACTCAGCCAGCAGGCTCAGACTACCTGCCATGCAAACGAGAGTCTGGCTTTTATCGCATCTTCTTCCCAGGAACACCATGAATGGGGAAATGGAAAGCTCAATTTTGGGGAAATTGCAAAGGGTGAAAGGGGGAGGAGATCAGTTACAACACACTGTTGCAACACTCAGCAGGGTTGAAAGTGACAACAGCAAGGGTTTCTCTTTTTGGAAATGTGAGGGTTTTTCCGCGTCTGACAGGGGGGACGGAATGACAGCAGCACGGGCCGGTGAATGACTACTTTCTTTATAAGCAACCACCCTGAGCCTGAAATGGCAGTCTCTGGTCTCTGCTGCCTTGCTGTGGCCTCAGGATGGAACTCTGCAGCAGACGGTACCGTCACTTAATCTCTCTCCTTCTCTTCCTTCTATGTCATTCAGAAGCAGCCTGCCGCCCTTCTAGGAGAAGACCCTGCAAGATGCAAGCTTTCAGGTAAGTCTTCCAAAGACATGGGGTTGCATAGAGATGCATGTCGTACGTAAGTCCAGGGCACTGGATCTGAGGGACGGGATGGAAAGGGATATATATCCTTGACTCAAGAACAACTTGCTACATGCACCGTCTCTAAGGCTTATGTTTTAAAAAAATGTTCTATGCATGGACAACAGGGTGATCAACTGCTCTCAGTTTCCCAGATTCCGAAGTGTTCAGTAAGTGGCAGAATAAAAGGTGCCCAGGAATGATGCTAGCCTTGGGATCTAGCAAAGAGGATTACCGCAGCAGGACACAGTCTATGGCTCAGACCAACAATCTACACCCTGTCTGTGCTGACTTGGAAGATCTCTCTCTTTGGAGTTCCCAGTTTCCTTACCTGGGCATCTTACTGGTTTAATGACAACCCCTTGTGTACCATAAAGGGCTGTGCAAATTAAAGACATAAGTAATCCTGTAGCTGTGTTCTGGGACCTGTACTCTGAGAACCTGAAAAAAAAATGTCTTGAGTCTTAAAATTGGACCAAGAGCCTTGGGTGATCTTCACCAACTATCATAAGCTGTCACCAACCTTAGAGTAAAAATGGCAGGCCTTTATTTTGATTTTGAAAAGTAAATGAAGAGATTGTTGGTGCATACACGCTGTCCTCGATCCTTTCTGAGAATGAAGTCTGTTGAATCACTTCCCCTTTGACCTTGTCTGCTTTGGAACTACAGCTGGAAGCCGGGTTTCTGGTTCAGAGTATGTGCATCCATCCCAAGGCAAGTCTGTCCCACAGAAACAGGGACTGTCTGCTTCATGAGGTTCCCCACCACATCCTCTTAGCAACTCCAGGAGAGGTTCCTGGAGTCCTTTTAAGCAAGGCTATTGGGTCCCTTCGATTTGAAGTTCACCGTAGAAGCAAAGGCGCAAATACCCCCTTCCCATGCAGAGGATTTGATTTGTCCTCTGCCCTTCGCAGAGCTCCGTGGCTACTCCAATCAGCTCCCCTGATGAGTAAAGAGACAAGGTACAGATCCAAGGTGATGTCACCAGGGTGGTATTATCACATCTCACAGTGGCCTGTCTCACAGCCAGGGATCCCTTCACCAAGACAGAGAGTGACCAACAGGCCATTGTGTAAGCTAGAGAGGAAGTTGATTTGTTCCCAGGGACAGCTGTCCCTGCCAGAGCCAGAGCGGGTGATTGGCAAGAGAAGCAAAAGTTCTAGTTACAGACTTTCAGGCCTAAGACTCGGAGTAGCTTGGCTGCGATGTGTTCTAACCCTTGAACTTGTAATACTATGATGTAGCCGCTAGTTTCAAGTGGCCACCTAAATTTACACATAGCTGCCTGAAAATGAAAGAAAGGCATGCAGCCAGCAGCTCCCCTAATGAGTGGGGTGAATACAGGATGTGTTTGCATTGCCTAAGATTCTATCAGATGGTGATGCTCTAGAGAAAATTCTCCTGAAGCAGCGGGAGTCTACGCTGGGATGAGGAGCACGAAGAAGAGGTTTTCTGTTCACCAGCTATGAGAGATGGATCTCTCTCTTACGGTAGTGTTGGCTTGAGTCGTCTCATTTGTGCTATGATCTCGCTGAAGACCACACTCCCAGCAGATCTAGACGTAGGTTAGATGGCATTGAGGATGTCGGACACGGTACTGTTCTGCCTACCACAGCTGGGCCATTTTGCTTTTCAGAATCTGGGATATTAACCAGAAGACCTTCTATCTGAGGAATAACCAACTCATTGCTGGCTACTTACAAGGACCAAATACTAAATTAGAAGGTGAGTGGGAGGGCTGGAGAGATGGCTCAGCGGTTAAGAGCATTGCCTGCTCTTCCAAAGGTCCTGAGTTCAATTCCCAGCAACCACATGGTGGCTCACAACCATCTGTAATGGGGTCTGGTGCCCTCTCCTGGCCTGCAGGCATACACACAGACAGAATATTGTATACATAATAAATAAATATTAAAAAAAAAGAAGGTGAGTGGGAAACAGGGAAGCTAGTGGGATGTGGGCCTAGGGTCACCTTTCCATGCTCCTCCGGCTGTAGGTAGGATGTCCTCATTTCTGTTGAGTTTGAAATGAGAGACATGACCACCAGAGGATACACATGGGAGTGGTCTCAAGAGTGAAAAAATGTTTAGAGCCTGAGTCTTAGTGCCCCGGGGACACATCTAGGGGAACAGGGACCAGGAGTCTCCCTGAACTTCCTGAATCTTTCTGTGCTGGAAGACCATCCATGTTCCTGTGTTATTCAAACCCTAGCCTTGCCCTAGGTGAATACACCATGTACATGGCTTAATAATATTCTTTCTTGTGGCTACTAACCTCAGCATGTACCCATCTGTACTTGGGACAAAGCTAGATGAACTGGGAGGACCATCACTCACAGATTCTTTAGTTTTTCTTCTAGAAAAATGAGGGCAGTGGGTTGACAGAACTTGAATTTCCTTTAGCACTAGAGTCTAAGAGTTCCCACACCTCTATTTGTGATAGAGAGGCACTGCCCACACTTTCTTACTATTCCTTCCCCAAGCCCTTCCTCTGCTTTCCTATCTTACTCAGCAGCTATAGGACTGGCTTTTCCTGACTTTCTAGTAATCTAGGAATTCTCCCATGAGCATGCTCGAGTATAGGGAGGCTGGGTTTTCTACTGCTCCCCAGTAGCAGATGGGAAAGGTGGGCTGTAAAGTCCACAGGCTTCCTGGAGCCTACTCACGGGCCTCATGAGTTGTGTGCCCCTGACTATTAACAGCATTTCTGTTGATCAGGAAGACAGGTTTCCTGGAGAAAGTAAAAAAAGGTTGGGAAGAGTGTGGAGCAGAGTCTAGGAGGCTGGTCCTTAGGGATAACTAGGTAGAGCGTTTGGTTGGCTCTCTTATATGGAGGCAGACTAGGAAGAAAGAGCCTGCCTGACCTTCTGACCTTAAAATTTTAGTTTAAAAAGGAGACAGAAAATACTCACAGGTTCTTCCTCACCCTTCCTCCTCGTCTCTCTTTCTGACTTCACCTTCCGCTCTTTTGCAGAGAAGATAGACATGGTGACTACTGACCTTCAAAATGTGTTCTTGGGGATCCACGGCGGGAAGCTGTGCCTGTCCTGTATCAAGTCTGGAGACAATATCAAGCTCCAGCTGGAGGTAAGAATCTGGTTGAGCTATCAAACCATTATGAAATCCATCAGTTTACACCAGCCACAGGTGGTTCTCATGACTCCGTGAGTATGCGCGGATGAGGGAGACACATCGTTCCTCAGAGGGTAATCTTTTTTTTTTCCATTTTTTTATTGAGAAAAGGAGAAAAAAAACAAGTTTCCACCTCCTCCCAGCCTCCCAGAGGGTAATCTTTTGGGGTCACTCCTGAAGTAACTTCCGTAATGTTCTTGGTCGTTATTGGGTGTCCCAGATGGTTTCTCACCCTCTAAACCATCCTCCCCGTGACTTCTTAGCATCAAGCTTCCTTGGAGCATGGTGGCCAACTTCTTTGAGAGATTATTCCAGAAAAATGACCCTCAATGTGAAAGCACTTATTAAACTTGGCCTTACATGAGTCTATTGGCAAAAGCCCATGACGTGGTTAACATAGGCACTGTAGAAGGGCACTAAGCAAGGGTTTAAACTCTAGGAGGAGACATTTTCCATGGAGGGCCACCTCTACGACACTATCACAGAACCTGAACCACCCATGGGTCTTATGCTGAGCCTCCCAACCCACTTGGACCTACCTTCTTCTAGCAAGGTCCACTTTCAAGACCATGAACTTCTAACGATTATCCAAGCTACTAGCTGGAATCCCACATAGAACTGTCACTTCCTGACCTATCCAACAGCAGTGGACTGTTCAAGCATTAACTTGAGGACTAGCTGGGCAAACTTGTAACTGCCAGTAACCACAACCTTGAGTTTGCCACTAACGCTTACCAATGGACATGACCACCTTTTGGGGATGGGAGGAGAGGAGTGACTATCTATTCTAAATATAATAATCTCATATAACACATCCTATGGGCTTTAAGACACTCTACCCTTTCTTTCACAGCTCTCTTGCCTAGAAAGAATCAGATCTTGACCCATCACTGCCTCTCTAGCCTAAGTCTTTGCTAATGGGGCCATGTATTTGATAGACTTACTGTACCATGGCCACGCTAGCATGCTTTTCAGTGCAAGAGATAACAGCAAGACAACCCCTTCTATTTGTGCTGTCTTAAGAAATCTGGAATCTGTGTAGTTTGACCATGTCTCTAAGAGATCAATCAGATCTCCACCATCAGAGACTGACCACCTTATGAGAAGCATTGAGATAGATAAGACAACCAGGATCTTCTGGGACCCCAGAAATCACATGACCATTTCTTGACTTCCAGGAAGTTAACATCACCGACCTGAGCATGAACAAGGAACAAGACAAGCGCTTCACCTTCATCCGCTCCGAGAAAGGCCCCACCACCAGCTTTGAGTCAGCCTCCTGTCGAGGCTGGTTCCTCTGCACAGCACTAGAGGCTGACCGGCCTGTCAGCCTCACCAACACACCCGAAGAACCCCTTACAGTCACCAAGTTCTACTTCCAGGAGGACCAGTAGTGCTGCCCAGACCTAGCCTCCTCCACTCCCAGGCCATCGATGACTCCACCAACTGTCTTCTCACTCTGGGCATCGCTAGGGTCTGAAGAGCAACTTTTGCAGGCTGCATGATAGTAGGATATAGAAGACTCCTGATGCCAGATTTCTGACTCCACCCTGCTAGCTGACCCAACCCCCATGATGCTTTCAGGATTATCCTTCAGATTGGACCATGGCAGGCCCTCGTTCGAAACCCTCTCTTATTGCCTCTGCCCTCTGAGTGGATCTTAGGCTGCTTGCTTGACCTAGGTGCCTTCTGCTCCCCACACTTTTCCCTTCTTCCATTGTCCTACATGTCCACAGCCCAGACCAATCAAGGCCCTTAACAACACCCACCGCATGACTCCCTTACCCTGTTGGATAAGCCTGTGCTGATCTATGGAGAAGGTTTTAATTCTCCTTGGTGTTCATTTTGGCTTGGGTGCTTGGAATGAAACCCACCAGGGCCTCATGTATGACAACCAGGATCTTCTGGGTCCCCAGAAATCACATGACCATTTCTTGACTTCCAGGAAGTATGTGCCCTACCACCAGGCTATGCTCCCAGCTCACAGAGAAGTTTGAAAGGATCCAGAAAACAGAAATTAAGGATCTCCTGGTTATTTTATTAGGCCAGCCTTATTCCATCTGGGGAGAGTCCTACTTTAAGAGGTGTCCTTTCTGAGAGGAGCTGGGGCTCAGCTGTTCCTACTTGTGTGAACTGATGCATGGGGGAAACTGATAACAGGCTTTTCTCTTTCCCTTCTTTGCGTGATGCCCTAAAGTGAAAAATTAAAATTTTGTAGACTATATTATCCCCGCCATCCTTTTTTTTTTTTTTGGAAGTTTCCAATTGTCTGAACCCGTAAGCTCTCTGTCCAACCCAAACGCCATCTCCACTCCAGACCTCCCACAGAAGGTTCTGCCTGCAGAAGTTCCCACTGTCACTGTGCAAATATGCCTCTCAGGCCCTTTCTGCTGTAGTGAACGAATCCACTATTTCTTGACCCTGTTAGCACTTCTAACCTTGAAACTTGTGTGGAAATAGCTATAGCCCCTGTCTGTTTCCTCTGCCAGACTGTGAGCTCCAGAGAGCAAGGAGCATCGTGTGTGTGTGTGTGTGTGTGTGTGTGTGTGTGTGTGTGTGTGTGTTGGGTCCCTACAGGGCTGAGCCCCCACGCTGGCTCTTGGTGGGCACGCAGTGAGTATTATATGTGCTGGGTAGAAAGTTCCTTACTTATTTCTGGTTTAGCTGTATTTTACAATAAAACACTGAAAAAAGTCTACTTTGTTGGTTGTGACCATGTGGCCAAGCTTCAGACATAGGGTGCTGGGGAAATTGGGAGGCCAAGGGATCTGTTTAAGTCTATAGCTACAGAACAGTTGTCTCCCCTTGGAAACCCTTCTTCCCCACTGGGTCTCGCTTCCTGGGTAACAGGGTACCAAACACCCTTGCCTAGTTCTAGAGTTTGTTGTCCACCATGAAACCCCAAGTGGAAACAGCCCAAATACTGATGATGATGCTGGATAACCCTGCATGTGTCAGATCTGCACCCAACTCACGACTCCTCAATGGCAAAGACAGTGAATGAACCACAGCCAGCTTCAGCCAACGCAACAGATGAATCAAAATAAACACGGGTTCAAAACCACTAAAGCTCAAGGGCTCCCAGGTCAAACAGCAACTAATGAGCTAATAACCAAGAGGGAACCAAGCACTCCCCTGAGTCCCATGAACCTGTGCTCAGGTGTCCGTCTCCCGTTTGCCATGTGTGCTCAGGGGAAGCTAGCTAAAACTTGCGAGGGCTCAGTTTTCCTATCTCTTGGTACAAATAAAGGCTAATGCAGACCGAGTTGCCACCTTTAACTTTTGCAGTACCCATCTTTGATGGGTGGGAGTGTAGTTGCCATGATCAGTCCTGGAGGAGTCAATGCTCAAGGACTCTACTCCAAGACTCCCTTGCTTCAGGTGTGACCCACGACCCACAATTAGCAGCAGCGTCACTTGGGAATAAAATGCAGGCTCCTGGGCTTCACATGAGACTTCCTGGTTTAGGAGCTCACCTTAACCAGATCCCCCCCCCTCCCCAGGCAAACCACACAGGCTAAAATTTGAAGAACACTGCTTTTGACAGGTGTGGTAGTACACACCTTTAATCCCAGCACCCAAAGGCAGAGGCAGGCAATCTCTGAGTTCAAGGCCTGTCTAGTCTACAGAGCAAGTTCCAGGACAATGAGGGTTGTACAGGGAAACTTTGTCTTGAAAAAAGGAAAGAGAAGAAAGGAAGGAAGGAAGGAAGGAAGGAAGGAAGGAAGGAGGAAGGAAGGGAGAGGAAGAGAGGATAAAGAAGGGAACAGAGGGGAAGGGAGGGAAGAGGGGGTAAGGGAGGAAAGAAGAGAGGAGGAGAGGGGAGGAGAGGGAAGGGGAAAAATGGAGAGGAGAGGAGAGCGGATGGGAGGGGAGGGGAGGAGAGGGGAGGAGAGGAGAGGAGAGGAGAGGGAGAGGAGAAGAGAGGAAGCACTGCTTTCTCAGACTGCGGCCATGCAGTGTGTAAGCTCTAACACACTGACCAACATGGCTAGCGTGATTACTAATTCATCCTTCTCCTTTCTCCCCAACCCTCTAGCTCATGACCATACCAAAACCTCCCCTTCTCACAGCCTTAGTTAAACCTTGGGTGTTCCTTAAATTCTGAAGGGGAAGCTTTAGGCCAACACCATCTGCAAAAAATGTCAGCCCAACACATCCAAGGGTTTCTGTCTCAAGCATACATACATCGGTATCTTGTGAATAGTAGCTACTTGCTATCAGCCACTCCACACGTCCATAGGAAATCATGGATTAGGTCGGCCTTGGACTGGATTCAGACCAGCCAAGATTTTTTTTCTTTTTCTTTCATTGTTTTTACCGAGTTATACATTTTTCTCCGCTCCCCTCCCTTTCTCCTCTATCCCCTTCTCCCCTCTCCCGTGACCCCCACACTCCTAATTCTCTCAGGATATTTGTCTTTTTCTCCTTCCTACATAGATCCATGAACGTCTCTCTTGGGGTTCTCTTTGTTGTCTAGGTTCTCTGCGGTTGTGGACCAGCCAAGTTTTGAAGGAGCCCATAAACCCAGGAAAAGCAGAGAACCGAGCAAGGAAAACATGACCACCAGGTGGCGGTAGCATCCATGAGCTTTGAGTGCAATGCCCTTCCAGGTTTGAAGGTGGTCCCTCACCACCAGGATCTGTCCAAACCTGATGGAAGTAAAGTCCCACACAGAAAGGGAAGTGAGCAAAAGAATTCCCATGGTAGATGGAAGTTGGAGATGGGGTTTCCCTTCCTAAGGCATCTCTCTCAGAGATGCAGAAAGGAATCTGATTCAGACTCCAAACGGAAGCAGCTTTTTGCATAGGGTTTCATCTTTGGCATAAAGATAAGGGGTTTCATGGGATCTATATCTTGGTAGCAGATGTCCTCTAAGTAGACAAACGCCTGATTGTTTTAAACAACAGGATGTGCAAACATTTGGATTTGGCATCGACTCGAGTTTAGGACTCTTGCTTGCACTGAAAAAAAAAACAGCCATATAGGTGCCAGTACACAAAATCCATCTCTGGTTCATTTATATGACCCAAGGAATGGGCCACGGCTCAGCGAAGCCAGGCTTGAGTAGCATATTCCAGAGAGGTCTCTTTTCAATTAGGAGACCGTAAAATGGTGAGGCTGGGTGGGAGTCAGGAAGGTCAGAGGGCGGGGGAGGCAGAAAAGAACAGAGCGTGGACCCAGACATGAGAATGGTCTTTTTTTCCACCTCTAGGCCTGACCAGCTATAACATCACGGAAAACCTGATTCAGAAGTCTAAAACCAGGTCAGGTAGAGGGGGGGGCACCTCTGTGACCTCAGCCCTCTGGAAGTAGGATAGTGAGCTCAAGGCCAGACTCATTAAATAGACAAAAATCCAAAAGCAAACTCAAGGCTTTCTCACTTTCACCATGTAGTCAGTGTCCCCACTTGGGGTGGTGGCCTTGGTCAAGCGACCCTGGTTCCTGCACCTCTATTCCCTCATTCTGTGCTGCGAATTGGAACGGCACAGTTTCTTATCAAAGGGTGCAATGCCTGGCTTCTGGCTCCACAGAGAGAATCTGATTCGCTTAGTCTAGGAACAAGAGCATCAGTACGCCAAGGCAGGCACCCTCCAGGAGCTCTGAGGTCATGTTCCTCAGCTGTTCCTTCTTGGCATCGTCTGTTAACACCAGGCTGGAGATGCCCTCTCGTTGAAGGGAATGACCTCCTTACGAAGGCAGCCATACATTTCCACCGTGTAGACCGACCACCAAAGACAGAGCTCTTGGCTGTGTGAGAGGGTGTGGCTTCCACTCCCAGCACTGATGGTAGGAATGAGGACATTGCTGGTTCTTTAAAAGCACGGGGTATGCACCTATAATATCATCATTTGAGTGGCTGAGGCAGGAGGATTGTGAGCTGGAGCCTACATGGGTTGAAGACTGCTTTAAAGAAAGTGAGATTTGAGAATCTCCTGCTTTCTCAGTCATAAGGTTGGCTTATGATGCCTGGCATAGGGAGCACAGTTTAGAGTAAACATCGGAGAAATCGGAACTGTCAATCACTTGGGTCTGTTGTCAATCACAGGATGTGAATGGTTCCTGATACCTAGAGTGCTGGATTGATGTGACAGCCCAGTGATCCTTTGCTATTCTATTAGGGCCAACCTGAATCCACCCCAGTATCCTGAGAATGGCTTAGGCTCTACTCCTGGCCACTCAGTGAATAGAATTTATCCCTACTAAAGCAGCCCCACATACTTTGCATCCTCTGCCAATAGAATCTATCCTTACGCTTATCACAGATCCTTCCCCTAGGCCCTGCCCTGAGCTCTGTTTATCAGCCAATAGAATGCATTGTAAAGTCACAGATGCTTTGTACCCTTGCTAGAGAGTGTCAGTGTAGCTATCGCCTGAAGCTTTGCCGTGATAATTGTCGTGTGGAAACCTCTTTCAAAAGCTTTGCCACGCTTAAGTGTGTAAGAAGAATAAACCATCAGATCAGCACCTGCGAAGACTTTCCTTTTCCACCTCGTGTGGACTGTCTGCTTCCTCCCATCCCCCACCCCCACCCCTCCACCCTCTCCCCGGGCCAGCTGTGAGACTCGTGAGTGCAGCTTCGCTTTTGATGGCATTAGAGTAAAGCAATGTTAAATTGGTGTCGATTTTTGCAAATCTTGGGAAGACCAAATGTGTATACAATTTTTAAGCCACAGAAGCAAACATGAAAAATGTTTCATATCAAACCCAGTTATCTCCGAATAGTATAGAAAGATGGTAAAATAGAATTGAGGTTCTTAGCTTAAGGAAGTTGAATAAAGGAACCAAGGACTTTCGACCTCCAGCACAAGGAGGCAAGAAGAGAAGTTCAGCAAATTTCCACCAGAGGGCAGCCTTTCAGAAAAGACTCCTGTGTGGAGGCCTCCAATTAGTTCTGGTTAAATCTGGTTTTTCTGACTCAGCGGGGAAAATCTGCTTTTTTTTTTTTTCCAATTCTATGTTTATTCTTATTCACCAATCAAGCTAAGCCAATTTAAAGTAGTGACAAAGTCGCAACCCCAACACCTCACTACCTGCCGAGACAGTGTCCCCAAGATTGCCTTATTCTGTGGCTCTCTGTTTCTCCTGGGGACCATTCCTCCTGGTTAACTAACTCTCAGTCTCCAGTGTTCCTCTTTTTGTTGTTATCTTCTGAGAGGATGCGGGCATCTCTCCCCCTCCCGCTCAAAGGATCAAAGGGACCTCAGGGCATCTTTGGCCCTGCAAACAGAGGACTGTGTGTTCCAGAAAAACAGAGTTTGAAATTGCTGTTCACGCCGGGTGTGGTTCGCAGCTGTAATCCCAGCATCCTAAAACGATTCGAAAGCCCCATCCACATCAGTGGGTTCTATTTATGACCCGCCAAAAGGAAATGGCATCCAGAAAACGGAAGTGATGCTCGCAGACCACGGAGTGGTTCCCTCTGGTATTTGTTTTTTCTTTTTCTTCTTTTTCTTTTTTGAACGGCTGAATGGCCCCTCCTGCTTTGATTGGTTGACACCGTTACAGTGGGTCCATTTGCATTCACATTAGCCTGTGGTTTGCCTCACATAGAGAAATCTTTAGCCCAGATTTAGAAAATGCAGAAACAGCTTTTTTGCTAAGCAATTCTATTTAACATGAAGTAGTGTCTCGCTGTTAATCTGAACTATATTATTTATTTATATATTAAATATTTCAGTGTGTTCCTCTTAGCCA